GACGTATAAAACAGACCAATTCCAACAGTAACTACATGTTATTAAATTAAACAGTTTTACATGTTCTGAAATAATTGTGCAAATGTTGCCACCACAATGCTAGTATGATGCTATGTGGCTGCAAAGCTGTTCTGAATGGTTGTAAACATGTTGTTACATGTTACTTACTGGATCTTATCAAAAATGTCTCTATGATGTTCTGGATTGTGTCCCTCCTTCCATATTTTGCCGTTTAATGAAAATAGCAAGATGCTTCACAAAACCCAGTTTCAGATATCTCTGGCTCGTAGCACAAATAATGTGAGATAAGCAACGCGCATCAAATTTTAACACTCGTAAAATGTTAATACTCAGGGTTAAGGGTTTGTTTAAATCCCTAACCCTAATTATGTGCAATAGCAATTGCAATAAATCAATTTGATAAATTTCAGTCTTGTATTAGAGTGGATCCTTTCACGCTCTGCAAGCAATAAAAAATTAATAAAGATACAAACTGCTTAAAAAAGGTAATGCTTTTAATACAAGCATATGACGAGCAATCTGCAAAACGTACAGAGTACAGGCTACAGTCATTCACATACACTACATATCAGACACAAACAGAAAAAAGGAAATAAATAGTCCGAAAAATCAAGAGAAGATATGTTCTTACTCAAACTAAATTGCTTGGGGTTTCTATGATTATGTAAAACAGAATCAAATAACACTTCTGAGATAAAATTCTAAAATGAGACTAACAGAAACTGATATTGTGATTCATTTCATGAGAATACAACATAGTGCTTGAAAAAAAATGCTTGCGTGCTACTTTAATAGCATACGCTGTCTGTGTACATTTGTTCTTTACCACAAATGACAAAACAAAAGATTGAGAGCGACACATGATTGGTAAAGTATAGATCAAAACATCTCTGTCAAACAGCTTCTCAGACCCACATTATTTTCTTGATCAACCAGTTTGGGAGGAAAACAAAAAACTAAATATATTCAGTCTTGAGAGAAGGAGAGAAGTCTAATGTTTATAAAACTAAAATTTTCTATGAAAAACTTTTTGCACTCAGAATTCACAGTGTCTCTCAGCACCTTTCAGGCACGTGATGTTACGCAAGACCTGCACTGGTGGCGTTAAGTCCACTGGAAATGGTTTCGTATCCTACAGAGACTAGTGTTAACACGCTGCTCTCCATCTCTGTGGACTGCTGAACTTCAGGAACAACAGAATCCAGCCGCATCTGTTTTCCTTTCTTCTGTCCCCTTCTGCCCTTTTCTTTAGGTTTGCTGTCTTCCGTGGCGGCTTTGGGCTTGCGGTTGCGTTTCCTTATCCTTCTCACTGGAGGTTCGGGTTTGGGGTCAGTGTTCCCTGAGAGGATTCGGATTTGTCGGTCAATGACGTTATCTACTATATCGAGAGCCACGTCCATCATGCCGTTACCAAGACCGTGTGTAACATTGGAGAACAAACGTGTATTCACAGGGTCATTAAAAGTCTTCCGCATCTCCTCTAGATAGTTCCTGTTTAACAACAAGAAACAACCAAAATTACTGGTTGAATCACAGCAGAACCATTTAGCATTCTTTTTACAGGACTACCAATACTTTACCTTGTTTCAATGATTTTTGACCAGTGCTGTACTTGGTTTGTTTCAGGTAGCAACTGTTTCGCCATATTCTCATAATCAACATATTGCAGTGCAAAATCCTTCATGTCTTTGCAAAGGGCAGCTGTGTCACCTAAAAAGAATGAAAATTCATGTAATTATGTAAAGTTAATTTGCTTCAACCTTGTCTAAACTGATTTTAGGTTGTGGTGAAAGAGTTCACCCAAAAATTACAACTCTGTCATCATTTACTGACTCTCAAGACTTACTTTCTTCTACAAAACAAGATCTTTTAAAGTATATTTCAACTGATTTTGCCCATGAATTGAAACTCAGTGAGGTCCAAAACCACACTGATGACTTTCATTTTATGTGCAAAAGGCCATTTTATGTTCAAACTGGTTTGATTTTTCATTTTTTGAAGTATATTGTCCAGACGTACCTTCAGTTAGTTTAGAAAAGGAACTGGATACTGCTGTATTGGTGCTTGGTGACAGTCCAAAGACATTTAGGGACTCCAAGAGTGTTTTTTTACTAGCTGGACCTCGACTCACTCTCGTATAGGCAGCCAGAGATCGGAGAGACATCTTCTCAGGCGGTTCCAATCTCCTCTTCACCTCTTCGTAATGGATCTGGTACTTGCGGGCCTTTGAGCTCTTCATGTTAGGGTCCAGCAGGGAGGCTACCTCTGCAAAAGGGACCTGCAGTGAGTTCACTGCACCATCTTGAGACGGCGCGGCACTCTGGCCTTCTGATGGACCTTGTGTTGATAAGTGGTCTTGGGTCTGAATATGAACCTGTGCTTCCACATGACCTTGCAGTAGAGTCTGCAGATGTGGAGCAGGCTGGATGTGTGACTGAGTCTGGATGTGAGTTGGCATCTGGATGTGGGATGGGATCATGTGCGGTACAGCGTGACAGGAGACTTCTTGAGGTACCACGTGCTGTGTGATGATTTGTGCGATGTTTGGAGGTTGCGGTTGTGGCTGATACATGGTTATAATGGGGTTCCCGACAGAGACGTGGACGACATCACTGTTCTGGGGAACAGCGGACATGTGCATACCGGCAGACGGATCCATCTTTTTCTCACAAGCACAATGATGACCAGCTTTTTAACGCAAATTTGTATCTTAAAAAAAATAATAAAGTAGAGTTAAATAAACATGCACACACACACACACACATATTTATATGATAATGATATATATATGTACACACACACAGCAATTTTTGAATTGGTGAGTTAAAATGCTAACATTTTAGGAACATGTATTAGGAAAGTAAATAGTCAATTTAGATATAATTTTGACTTTATTTTTAAAATTATTATTTCATGTGATCACTTTATTTATGTTTATTTATTTTAAATTCACCCGTTGCTAATTTTATAGAATTTTTGGTAGTATTAAGACTATACTAAATTAAGATTTTTCTTTTTCTATTCAGTGCCACATGAACCAGAGCTAACACATTTTTACAACATTAGCTGCCAGACAAAAAAAAGTTACATTAATTTCAGTGTTTTTAAAATACTAGATTTATGATTTAATTTATTTAAAAGCCCATTTATTGATATGCTAACGCTATTTTAGTTTTCTGAAAATAAAACCACTTCAAAAGACACATTTCTATCATACACACCAATTTTCTGTATATAGTAATCCTTCCAAAAAAACAACAACAAAAAAACTATCTTGAGTAAACACAATGATAAAACATGCAAAACTGTTTCTTTTTCCAGTCCAAAAAAATTCACAGGTCTATGAAATGTTCTTTTATGTTTCCAAACATGCTAAACTTGACAAACCCTATGTAGTATTTTGTAGGATGCTTCTTTAATTTTGTTATTTATGCAAAATTTGTTTAGCATTTCCATTATTTAATCCAAATAAAGAAGACAACAAAATCTTGCTGTAGGAAATGAGACAGAACAAACAGCATTTCTCATGACCTTATTGCAAGTATCACATCTTTGTTCAAAGATACAGGTTGGAACCATAGACTGTATAAAAACAGGTTGGAACGCGAGCCGATATGACGTTTTTGACAGCGCCACCGAGGCGCGAGACGGCTGAAGTTTGGAGCGCGTGCACGTGTATGTATCTTACACACTCTGTGCGTTACAACCACCCAGTAAAAACAACTGGGTTGCAGCACCTGCGTTTGATAAAGAATGTGTACGTGATATAACGTTTAGTTTATTTCACATAGAGAAGTTATATACACAAAGAGCCGAGTACAAAAGTCTGAGCTGACTTTGAGAGGAAAGATAATCTACTTGTTTTGATGAATAGTAGGACAGGCCAAAGCCACCATTATGTTTGAAACGTGATATTCCACCGTAATTATGTGCTCAAAAGCATCCAAACCTCCGTTTCATTCGGACTGTTCTGGTTACGAACGCTAACCTTGAATCAGACACAAGTTACTGACAGTATTCTTACTTACCGCTCTATGGTTAGAGTCGTATTTAAACCTTACTGATCCTAGAACAGTCCATGGCGAACCGATCGAAGGTCTCCTTCTTCACCGATCCTATTTCGGCGGGTTGCAAATCAGCAGACGGGGCACAGACGCCATAGCTGCCGGAGCTCGAACGCTCATTGGCCAATACCGCTGTCAATCATGTTCATTGGAAGCGCTGATTCGGGGAGGCCTGTGTCAGTCATGTTACGTCAGAGTAAAAAGGCGGAATATCCGGAGCTTAAAATGGTAGGACGTGAACAACGCTTCCAGGTGTCTGTCTGTTTGTTACGTAATGTTATTGACAAAAACAAGCAATGGAATCTACTTGGCTTTGGATTTATTATATTGACGTGATCAAGTCAAACACACTGTGGATTTATAATTTGTTTCCTTGTCAAATTTGCCATGAAAATAAATACGTTTTCATGTTCAAATAATAGGTGACCTCTTTGCACTACGGTATACTGATCACAACTTGTTGTTTTTCTTGATAGATATGAAAACTTTATAAAATCTCAATTCTTGGACACGATGTTATTTTTGTACAGTTCACTACTTATTTTCTGCACCAGATGGCGGTATTTCTTCTTAAATTGCTTTCTTTCACCATCTCTAATGATCTCATTAGATGCTGCCCATCCCAAAGCTGTAATGTTTATTTGCGTTTTCAGCTAGTTGGACAATTAGTCTTAAGTGCTTATTATTAAAGCCAAACCCATTATCTTGATAATCTTGCTAGTGGCAGGCAGAAAGAGGAGACCAGGGAGCTATTAATGAGAGTAATTGTTTAGAGATGTTTCCATGGTAAGAGAGGTGGTGTCTCACTATTTTCCTTTGTTGTCTCTTGACACAGAGAATTCATATAACTGCCCATTATCTGTTGGTCACAAGTGTCAGCACAGGCGTAAGGGGACCAGAGATGGAGAGACGGATAGAATATGTGCTGGAAAAGCACAAATATCTCCTTCTTCAGCAGCCTCTGCATCAGTGTCAGGTCAGATTGACATATAAATCAAAGGTCTGCCAGGACTCATTACTTTTGGTCTTTTTATATGCCCAAGCTATAAATCTTGCATGTTTTACATGCATCAAATTAAAGACTTATTATACATTTTTTAAACTTTTATTATTATTTTAAAGGTGAGGTTTATTATTTTTCTTTGATCAGCAGACAAAGGCTCTCTGTGGTGCTCTTGTGAGTAAATGCAAAGAGATTTTGAATAAGCTGCAAAAATGAATGCAGATGAATAGGCATTTGCAATATATTTGCAGTATCTATCTATCTATCTATCTATCTATC